AAACAAGCTGATCGTGTTAATAATGTCGCTTGTATATTTTATTACAAAAATTAAATGTTAAAAATTTCAAATTAATGCGAACGTTAGTTTTAAATTTGAAATTGTGTTGAAAAATTAATTTTATCAACGCAAAATTCAAATAAAATACAACAAAAAAGACATAAAATAAAATAAAAATTTATTTAATTAACAAATAAAAATACAATCAAATGAGTTCAAACATTTTAACATATGCGCGAGACTTGCATTTAATATCGACATGTATTAGCAGTTCAGATACACAATTCCAATATATAGAATTATATACTCATATATATATATATATATGTATATACGTAAAACATGTGTACATATAAAATAATCTGTTTTTTGCCGCTACCATAACAAACTTAACAAATTAACCAAAACGCTTTTAAACCCAACGCTCGATTGAAGTTTGTATTGACTTTTGTTGTTGCCATCGACGCAGCTATTAAATTTGCATTTCAAATTGTTTTGAATGGGCAAACAACAATGAATATACAAAAAAAAATTTTTTTTCTCTAAAATTGTTAATAAGATTGATTTTGTTAAGTATTCACATAGATACATTCTCACACATTTAAACTTAGTATATACATTATTATCATAATAAACTGGGTAGTGTCTTCGCATATATTCGTAATAAGTATGCACTCTCTATTGAATATTTAAGCTCGCCGTACCTGTGTAAGTCCCTTCTGTTTGGTTCGTTTTATTGAAATGCTTTAAATCTTTTTTTGACATTTTTGGTCTTGAAAAACATTTAACATAAAATTTATTGGTTCAGCATAAAAAAATAATTTTTCATAGACAAACAACAAGAAGACACACCATTATACTAAACACTATTCGGTTTCCAACAAGCTACTTTTAAACATGTTATTAATTTTTATTTTTATGTGTTTTGGCATTCGGTAAGCAAAAAACACTTTAGCGAAATTTAATGAGTTAAGAGATTTCGTTTTGCTATTTTAGGTAATTAATTTAAATTAAGTTTTGAATGAAATATAAAAAAAAAACATTTTAAATTTATATATTTTATTTTTACCTTCTGTGCCACAACGTGCTAATGAAGTGTTTTAAAGATTTTATTGAAATTAAATACAAAAATATTTTTTTGTTTTTGTTATAGCAACTTTAAAATAAAAAAAGTAAAAAAAAGTTCAATATAAAAACACAAAAAAAGAAAGAATCTATCATTTATATAAAGATACAATTATACCTTTATTCTGCTTGCAACTAACAGTTACAATAAAATGAGTCCCGTTTTGTCACCCGTCTTAAATCGAACCTAAAGAGTTCTGGATACTAGTTCTGAACAGTAGTCTTAACTTCTATTTGTGTTTCGTTTGGTCAGAAATAATATAGTACAATAGATATCGTGATATACCACTATTATTTTCTATACACAATAACCATTTATATATAATAGTTTATGATACACTATAATATGTCTATACACTATCTAGAAAAAATACACTATTAAGTTAAAACCTACCCCTGACTATATTTCTGTTTAATTTCTCCAGAAAAAACAGAATAAATATCAGGAATCGTGGTATATTTTTGTTATTTCATAACAACAACCTTTTGTTTTAAATATTTTACGGTACTCTAGCAATATGTATGTTAAGTCTAGATCTTCCAGCAGAATACAGTTTATATACAAACAGTAATCTTAACTTCATTTCGTTTTTCGTTTACATAGAAATAACACAATAAATATCGAGAGAACGTGTTGTACTACTGATATTTCATAACAATAATATATATTTAGCATAGTGTACTCTACGCTAGTCTATATTATACATTGTATTTTCTTGGATCTTTGAATATGTACATCTAGATTTATGAAGTTGTTATTCTGTTATCATTATATTAATTTTGAATTACCAATTAGAAATTAAAACTTTACTAACTTTATATTGAATAGCAAGATAAAACCCTCTTTCTTCTTTTTTGGATCTACAGCTATAACTGAGGCTTGACCTTTCTTGTATTTCTCACTAAGCCATTACTATTTTTCTTAAATATTTTCTAGTCATCGGCGGTAAAGCTTCTCAAAAAAGTTTTAATATTAACTATCGAACAAAGATTATAAATAACAAACTGAAAATTGAAATTTAATACACTTAAAATTAGTATATTTTTGCAGCTATTAGGATAAACGTTTTTTGAGATATTAGCGATGTTTCGGCTAAATGTTTTTTATTTTTATTGATACTGTAAAAACGGAATCTCTTCACGAGACGTATTCAAATTTCGGCATTCTACTTAAGATAATGGACCCATGAGAAAAAAATAAATAAAAAATAGGGTAAGAAAGAAATGGGCAGGAAGAAGGTTATAAAAGAAGTGTAGAGAGGGAAAAGTTGAGATATAAAGAAATAGAAAGTGACAAAGAAGACTGAGAAAAAAAGAGAGAGAAAAATGAAAACAATAAGACAGAGAGAGGAAAAGAAAGACGCAGAGAAAGAGATAGAGAAAAATGGACTGAAAGAGATTTAGGGAGTAAGTGAAAAGAAGAAAGGAAACGATAAAGAAGTAGAGGGAAAAAGAATGAGATTACACGAGTTAAAGGGAGCAAGAGAAATTGAGACAGAAAGAGAAAAACAGATTAATTAAAAAACAGATAATTAAATTAAAGAAAAATGTTTTTAAAGCTAAGCCTGTTATTATCTTTTTTATGAGAGCATTTTGAGATTTTATCTTCTATTTAATCTATAATACTTTAAAGTGAGTAATCTGCTGATGCTAAATAACAGAAGTAGTGCTGTATTTTACTACTATTTTACTTATTTCAATTCTAAAGGGAGTTATTAATTTCATTGGTTCAACCATTAAAACTTATTGATATTAAACAGTCAATGACAATGGAAGGTTAATTTCATTTATTTCTAGCATTTATTAATGTTTCAATAGCATTAAATTTGCAGAAAAAATATTTCCAAGAATTCATGTGCAAAGGACCTTAGCATTTTCTTTAAAATACAATCGTAAGTTAAACTATATATGTTTTATTTAACGATTTTAAACTACTTATATTCTAGATGTTTTAATATCTTAAAATTCAAGTGATAGAATTTAATTTACATTATTATTTTACACCTACATTTAAAAATAACTACCTAATTTAAAATGTATTCATTCTGGAAGAAATCTAAGTTAAAAATTGCAATTAAAATAATTCCAATTTAAAAAAGACAAGACCCCAAGTAATTTTCTCTCCTAAATAGAAGCAGACACAGTTCAATTCCATGAAATAGAGATGCAAACAAATAAATCTTTCAATTGTATCTATTTTTTTTTCTAATGTATTTTCCATTGTAATTGTTTTTCAAGTGTTGTAACTACACTAAAATATCAATAATAAAAACAGAAACCAAACAAAAACCAAGTCAAATTACACCAATAAAGTGGGAAAATTGCTTTGAAAAAATAAATAAACAAAAATTTGTTGCAGCCATTAAATGCTATTTTGGTAACAAAAGGCACGGCAAGACACTAAAATACAATGAATGCACTGACCACATGAGATACAATAAGTATCTACGTATATTTGTTTGTCTGTGATTCGTATGAATTTATCTTTTTATGCCAAAACCAAACCAAGAAGACAAGACAAGTCAAGACAAGGCAATACAATGTAAGGCAAAGCAAATAGACACGCGCGCTACCACAAAACGATATGAGAAATGAGCATAAAGATTCCAAGGTGCACTCAGTTTGGTCATTTTTTTGGGACTTTATTATATTTTTTTTTCAAATTTCAATACTTTTTGGCAAAGACACAACTAACAAATAGAAAATACTGTATCTGTACAGTATCTCGTATCAAATCATTTTGTATTTTCTGCGTGAATTATGCTGATCGTAGCTAAAAAGGTCAACATGCTAAGTTCAATCTGCCATATGAAGAATTGATACCAAAAGGTTTCATGCAAAGAACACTAAACAGCAAATGTTGTTGTAATATACCTAAGTGACTGCTGTGACCACCCTCGACTGCCAATACACAGTATGGAGAACACATAATAATGTTGCAAAGTCGAAGACAGTTGAAAATTTGTCGCATGCAGCACATGTTGCACATACAATACGAAAATATGACATCAAATGTATTTGCAATTGTTATGTCCTTTAGCTTTAACTTATTACTGCATTGTTCCTGAAGATAGCCAACGTGTGTGGTGAGCCTTATTGATGGAAAGAACTCTTTGACTTTTGTGCTTAGTAGACATTTGTGATACTTTTATCAGTTAAATAAAGCAATGACTGTTTTCTGTTTTTAGTCTTTACTAGTTTTAAGAATATTGAAAGTGAGATTGAGGTATATAAAAACTTATGCATTTACTTTCTCGGTATATATTAAATACAGACTTAGTGTTAATGTAGCAAGAAAAGGTTCTCACTTTGCAAGTTCTAATTGTATACATAAAAAGGTTGAAGAACACGTGAGGATAGAGATGTGTTTCTCACTACTTTCATTCTTTATTTAGTGGACTACAGTAGGTCAGTCGTGATCTCATAAAAAAAATAAGAAATTTAAAATTTTACAAAGTTCAATAATAATCCTCTTTATTTATATAGATATATATAGTAATGTATATATAATATATGGACACAATAGATCTCTAGACCTCTAAATATTACAAAAAAGCAAAAGAAGTAAAAGGAGTTGGATACCCCTTTCACTTGTTTCTTACACTTGTGGGTATTATACATGGCTATGACGGTTTTTGTACTTCCACAAAGATTGTAGTATATAATGAACTAATAATAAGTTAATAAAAAATAATAAGTTAGCATATGCAATATATTGTGCTTCCTTATTCACATCCAATATGATGTATGGTTTCCTGATTTTATTTATTTGGATATCATTTACAATCTCTCAAATGTGAAAGATTCTTCCTATTTGTTTTTTATCTAAAACAAAAGTCTTACACTTTTGACCTATATATATAAAACTGACTTACCGGATTTGCATAAAATGGTGGTTGATCTGCGGCCATACCAGATAAATACGCTGACATACCTTCAGGGTAAACACTGAGTGGTACACCACCAGGTCCGGGCACTAAGCCGCCAGCGGCTGCCAGACGTTGATAGCTTAACATATCATACTGACATGAGCATAACGTTTGCCCACTAACAGGATCTGTATATATAGTACGTCCAGTATCACAGCAACGATTTGCAGAAGGTGGCCCACTTGGTGGTAGACCGGGCGCACCTGGTACCATAACTGGTGGTGGACCTGGTGGACCAGTAGCAGCTCCACTACCTGGCCCACTTGAAGATAAACCCGCACTACCAGGTATACTGCTACTTCCATAAGGTGTGGCGGCTGCAGAGCAAGGCGATACTGAACGTGCACCAGGCGGTACTGTCGATGTAACTGCCATACTTGAATGATGTGCTGTAGGTGTGTTGGGTGTATTTGTTGACGGCACGGCGACAACAGCTGCTGCTGCTGCGGCGGCAGCGGCGGCGGCTACAGCAGTCGCTACGGAGGCAGTTAAAGTAGGTTGTGCGTTGACTGTGCTAAGATTTGTAGGAAGTTGTTGATGATGGTGATGATGTGATGCTTGTGTTGTAGGCGATGCAGTTGGTCGAGTAGAAACGGCGTTCTAAATGCAATAAAGAATATTTTCAATTCATTAATTATTTGAAATATTTTTTTTTTTAAATTAATAAACATACAGATAAAAGCTTTAATGCTAAACAACGACATATAGTAGCGACAAAGGATTAGTACACAAAAAAACAATCTCTGCAATCTATAACGATATTACTGTCTACTGTTATTTGCTACTAGCAAATAAAATTTAATTAAAAAATCGTTTGTTATCTCAGCTAGTGGCAGTGATAACACTTGAACGTTCTGCTCCAACTACCTCAAATCACAGCAAATAGTCAATAAAATTGTAAAAAAAAAGAAACCCAAATACATTTTTTCAAAGTGAAAGCCGACAAATCATGTTCTAGATTGACAACATTGATTGGAGTTACAGAGACAAACGCGTTACAAGCGCACAAGAACGCTACAAGCAACAACAATTAAAATAACAACTACTAACATGAATAACAATGACGAGTTGAGATACAAACTGCAGCTAAACCGTAATAAGTTTTGCTTATTTGCAGTATTTTTCCAAATACTTGTAACCTTATCAGACAACTGTTGTCAACACTTAGCTTCGGACACTCTGCTCTTTCGACAAGCAAGAAGAACAACAACAAATAAGTCCAACACAACAGTAATAATAACAACAACAACACCAACAACAGATGTGATTAAAAGTAAAACAAGTAAACGCTTAAAATTTTTCTTGTACAATTTGATATATACAATGCGATGATTTTTATCAAACCCACTAGCCGTTCTCCTTATTTAACAGTACATAATTGGTTTCTTTGCTAGGATTCAACAGGCGAGTATCTGTGTTTTCTTGAGCGTACTTCTTACAGCAAAAACTACACTTACAAGCGACGTCAAATAGTGTAAACATTTGATTGATCCCGAAACTAGCACCCAACGCGCATTCAAAGTTAAGTGCTGGATGAAGTACAAGCAAATACGTTCATATCAATATCCAGCGTGTTTGAGAACCGAGAACCCAACAACGACAACGGCAACGACAAGAGCAACAACAACAACAACAATGCAACCAATTCCTCGAGTATCTCATTGATTGATCATTGATCGTACGTAAACTTGTACACATAAGCGTAGATACATAAATAAATATCAAGACGACAAAACAAACTTTTACTTTGTCATTTCTATGCGTATTTAACCATTTTGTCTAGGTCGTCTTCATCAGCGCTAGCGCTAGCATAGATATCCAAGTCAAGTCATCAAGTGGTCATACGCGATTAAAATATAATTCACGGCATTTGTTTTGTGTACTCGTATTTTGTGCTTGTAACTTTGAGATATCTTGGGCTGATAGTTGAAAATGCGCTATCGAAAGGGTCTTTTGAATCAGCCGCTATCGATTGTTGGCTTCACTGATTGTTTATTTATTGAATATTGAATTTGTTTGGTTCTTGTTATACTTAACGTTTTGCTTGTTCTTTAGCTAATAAACTTACCATGTAAGTTGTTGCAGTTGTTGTTAGTTGAGTAGAATAAGTATATTGCCTTTATTGACTTATGATAAAGTACAAGTAATATCATTTAAATATGGATTGAAGAAATATTTTGAATAATCGATATTAAAAACGATATATATACATATTTGTGTTTATATTTTAAAATTTGAAAATATATATAAACAGAAAATATATATAAAGAAAGCTATAACAGAAAGAATCCATCGTTTCCTTCTTCATAGTGAGGTGGCTGTACAATATTTTAAAAATTGTTGTCTATAAAATTTTCTATATATATTTCTATGTCATAGGAAAAATATAAGACGGGGACTAAATAACTAAACATCTAGTTTAAAGAATTATTGCATTCGATAAAAGTTTTTAATATAAGTGCATTTGAGTCAAGTATTAAGGTCTTTAAATTCTCTGTCTTTAGCTTCCCGATGTTAAAACAGTTAGGGGAAAAAGTTGTAACAAAAAAAATTGTAATATAATATATAATAATAATAATAATATATAATTCTAAAAAATATTATAGAAAAGGTACATATTTTAAAACTAATTTTAAAAGTTCAGTCTCATATAACATGTCGAATTAGCTTGTTTAAAAATATATATAGAGATTTATTTCTATAAAATTTATAAGAAATTTCAGTTCTGTGGAATTAGTGTTTAGTTAAAAATATGATTTCTCTACAATATAGATCAATCATTGCCAGTATCGGTTCACAAAATATTGTAGATTATATTTATACATTTTGGAATTTCATATTTACTGTAAACTAATAACTTACGGCTATGATTAATATAGTCATCTATCGTAAAATATTGTGTTATCGTCTTTCACTAAATCATTTTTCGCGATGATATAGGTACCGGTCTTTGCAAAATAGATTGAATATTTTATCAGTGCTTGTAAAATTCATGGAATATTTTACGGGAGCTTGTTATATTTGTTATTATATTTATTATGGAATTTTTTTTTTTTTAGATAAATAGTACCATAAGTAGTACTAGTAAGCATCAGTCTAGACTACAATACAAATGGTAATAATACTTAATGTGTAGTCTACCAACTCTGTAAAGAGGCATGCAAAAACTATTCATTATATTGAAAATTTTTCTTGGATTAAGTTTTTATTTTTATATAAATAATGTACAAAGGTTTTCTACAGAAATATTTTATCATTTTTATTTGTGTTTATACAAAAGTTTTCTAAAGAATTTTGTTTTCAGCATTATATTGTATTTAGCACATTTTTTTACTTATTTTTCTAAAGAAATTAAAATAAAACATATTTTTTTTAGCACAGTTAACTGGAGTTCTTATTTTATATATTAGTTTTTATTTTAGATTATTTTTAATTTTATATTATTTTTATTTTTCTATTCTTTTTTATTTTATATGATGGTTCATTATATATTATTTTTTATTTCACATTTTTTTTTTTTTTTATTTTTTATTTTGTATTCTTTTTTATTTTATAATATATATTTGCTTTATTTTAATTTATTATTGATTTTGTATTATTTCATTATTTTAATTTATTTTTTATTTTGTATTCTTTCATTATTTTGTATTATTTTTTATTTTTTCTTTATTTTCTATCATTTTTTATATCAGTTTATTTGTTATTTTAAATTATTTTTTATTTTATATGATTTTTTGTTATATATTATTTTTTATTTTATATTTTTCTTTTTTTTTCATTTCATATTAATTTTGATTTTATATATATTTTTTTATTTTATTATTTTATTTTATTTTTTATTTTAAATTTTTTCTTTATTTTGTATTAATTTTTTTTTTTATATAATTTTGTATTATTTTTTAATTTATATTTTTTTTTAATTTATATTTTTTTTAATTTATATTATTTTTTATTTTATTTACATTTCATCTATTTTTTTTAAATTATTTTCTTATATTATTTTTTATTTATATGATTTCTTGTTGGTTCATTTTTCAGCTGCCTTGCATATTATTATTTAAAAATACATATTTTTTATTTATATTATATCAATTAATATATTATTTAAAATATATATATGGTGATAACAAATAATTAGTAAAATAATAAATCTTAAACATATTTTTCATTGCTAATAAATCAAATTTAATAAAATAATTTGTTAATTGGTAATAATTAAATGAAACGTGTGGATTAATAAAACAAACATATTTTTTATTGGTAATGTTAATAATACTAACTATATGTTACCTCAAATTTAAAAGAATTATTTGTTAATTGAAAACAATTAAACGAGAATATATAGATTTATATTTATATCCGGCGCCAAAAATTTGCCTAACAACAATTTTTTTTAATCAATCTCATATACCTAAATCTTTAAAAGTAGCCAATTTAAGCAAACAAAAACAAAAAGTACTTAAACTCTTTAATAATACTTTTGGACCACAATCAATCAAAATAAGTCAAATGTTGTTTTTTGTACATTTGAAAAGAAGCACAATTTTTTTAAAAAAAATTGAAATAAATGTATCTAAAAGCCAAACAACAACATTTATTGAAACATTTAATTTACTTGAAACTTAAAGGTAACACAGACAAAATGTCAAATAAATGCAAACATCGAACATCAAATCTTTGACAAATTTCAATTAAATTGAAAGCATTTCAACAACTGATAACTTGAAACTTGTCAACCGAAACAATGCATGTATGTATTGTACAATAATGTATCTGCAAGATACAAATATTTTAACATGCAAAAATACAAGCGAAATGAAAAAACGGTAGCGTACGCTCGAAATGTAACACGGTGCCAGAGGAAACCTTAACAAGACGTACAATTTTGTACAACATGTGAAAGGTAATTAAAAAAATCACAATAAATTGTTGCCAAATGTATTTGTATTTGGTTTTTTATCTCAAGAAAACAACAAAATCAGACACTGCAAAACTAAATCAACAAATGTATCTACCCGCTTGAATACAAAATTAATACACTTTCAGATACATTTTTCACTGTTTCTCGATTCGATTCGAGCAAAGGAATTTCATGTAAAACAAGCAATGTTAGAAAACAATTTGGTGGTTGATTTGTTGGATTTCATTTTGATTTTTAAACTATTTTTTATTTTTCTATTTTTTTTTTGTTTTGTTTTTTTTTTTTTGTTAATTTTTGTATCTTTCAATGACTTTGATAGTGTAAGTTTTAGCCGCTGCCTTACTGGTTGTATCTCATACTTTATTGCCACAGATAACAACACTTCGCGTTTAATTTTTCTATTTTTTTTCCTTTAACAATTTTTGGCTTGTTTAACGTAGTGTCTACTTAAATTTTATCGCAATTGTTATGACATTATGTCGTATGATAATTAAAATTGTTATAAAATACATTATCGCAATTCATATTTTTATTATTGATGTTTTATGTATTTATTGTGATATTAAATGCCCCTTAACTGACAAGATACTAAGAAAATACTTGTAAAATGGGAGGAGTTTGCTTCACGTCAAATTATCGAACTCAAGTATTATGATGAATTTTCAATAAATCAATAAAT